GAGCCTCGATTGCTCACCGTTTGATGTAGGTCAAAATAGATAAAATGTGTGATCGTTTTTAGAGAAGTAAAATTGGACTTTAAATAAAAAACAATTAATTTAACGTATAATTATATCGTTAACGATGATTTAATTAAGAAATAAGTTAATTCAATTTAATATATTGTTAATGATAATGAATATATTGTTAATAAATAAATTAATTTTTAAAAATGATTGAAACACGAATGGTTGAAAATTTAATTATTTAATTATTAGTTTTTTAAATAATTTTAAGAAATTAAATTTCTAGATTGATAATATCGAAGATTAAAAGATTGCGGCCAAGTATAATTCTATTCAAACCTTTTAAGCTATTTTGAACCATAACAAAGTACTCGACTTTTGAGACACCCCATACACAAATTTTCCTCTCTTCTCATTTCAATTAATAATGCAGAAAACGACGCGGCTGGTTGGGGTCCTTGGAGCGCGTGGAGCCCTTGCAGCAGCTCTTGCGTGGGTGGAGTTCGTAATCGATATCGATTTTGCGACACACCACCCCCGAAATACGGAGCGAAATTCTGTCAGGTGAGTTTTAAAGGTGGATGATGCAAAATGCGTGGCAATCAAATCAAATAGTGACGCTTTGCTCGAAATAGGGAAGAGCGGTCGAAACGGAATCCTGTGGTGGTACCGGCAGGATCGATTTTCAAGAGGCGTGGAACACCGAAGGATGGGAGTGCCGACACGGAATGACATTAGCGGCCGCAAGACCGGAAGTCACGGCTCAGATCGGCGTACAGTGTCGGTGTGGTTGTATTATCAATTTTGGAGATAAAGCCTTGAACAAAATACTGGCGGCGAATACTCAAGCTTGTCCTGGTCGTTCCTTCTGGCTGCTACAGGTAAATCTCGCTAGGACGCATTATATTATTTTTTTGCAACTTAAATAATTTTATACTTGTTCAAAGAAAAAAAAATCATATTTTTTTCTTCTTCGCTATTTAAAAACTTAGATATTATTTAGATATATAGATCTGAAAATAATTTTGATGAACCACCAAAGTAGTTAAGAATTTCAAGCACGGTGAACAATACTACAAAGCTTTGACATTCTCTGAATCAGTTTGAGGATTCTATTATACATAATTATTTTAATGGTTTAACAAAATTATTTTTAAATCTGTACCTAACTAAATTTTTAGATGCTTCAGCAAAACTATGCTTTCCGTGTAATAATTGATTCCAATTTATCTATAGGCAAAATCGGATTACACAATCCGACTGCATTTGGATCAAACGCAGTTTCCTTGCCCAGGGCAATATTTTCGCGCTCGCGATGGTGATTCACTAAGCGCGGAACTCTTGACGGATATTGCGTTTGACAAGGGTGCACTCACGACAGGAACGATATTTTCCTCGGGTCAAAATTTGTTGCTCGAGTTTTTTAGCGATGAGCATACCGCCTCGGGGGATTCCTGCGTGGGTGGCTTTTTGGGACATGCAAGCATATTTCGTAAGTGTCACAACTTATCATGTATTAACACAATCAATACGAACTAGAAATGCTTATATCGGTTGAAGATAAATCTTTAATGCTTAAATAATTCAATGTGAATGATATATATATATATATATATACTATATTT